TTTAAATAATTGACTTTAAATTTATTGATCGTGACGTTTAAATTAATTGCTTTATATATTTCAAATTCACGACCCTATACGAGTTACTCAACAATTCTTCTAAAGAACACACTTTTTTTAACACTAGACGAAAGTTCGTTATCTAGAAAAGGAATTAAAAAAAGTTATTTTTAAGCACGAATAAACATCTTCTTTGCTTTTGAGCCCCATTTTTTATTCTGAAGAATAGATTATGTAATAGTAATTTTTTTAGAGAATGTGTAATTAAAACCTAAAAGGCACTTGGATTTACGTGTAAAATTTATTTTATTTAAAGGGTAAGTAATTTTATTTTCCCTTTAAAATATTTAGAGGAAAACTTGAATATTTGGCACCTTCCACGCACACAAGGAAGTCTTTCTCTCCCGTATCATTAATGCAAGTTTATGTTATCAATTGGAAACTCACTGTTGAATTTCAATGTTCATGGAAGTTGCAGGCGGATTTCAAATTGCACCAAACGCTGTATTTGATAGTACTATGGTGACTCNGAAAGTTCCAAAATCCATTGCTTATTATATAAAGAAAAGAAAGTCCAATTCTTGACGTTGATTGTGATCTTCGGATAGTCGAGTCATTCCCCTATCTTTAGCGTATTAACTTTTAGTTTTGAAGTATCGATACTAATTTTAGGATAATGAATCTAATCAACAAACATAGAATTACTTTGAATTAGTAATATGAAAATTAAAAAAATATATATTGATTTCATAGTATTTTATTGTTTGTGTGTATTTATTTAAGACATTCGGTTAGATCTTGATTGAACTTTTTGACTTTTGACTCTTTACCATTTTCGGGTCGATTTTCAAAACATTGATATTTTCACAAAAAATAATTTTATTACTAGACTCTGGTGCAATAAGACGAGTATATGAAATTTGAGGTGAAGTTGCACTTGGATTAATAGATTAAGGGCCAAGTATGTAAAATTCCCCATTTATAATTAAACCAATCTCCATTTTCGGCTGTCCACATATGGCAATTCCTAAAAGATTCAAATGTTACACCGTGCAATTTGCGCCGCCAATTATGCTGTTACTAAGTGCAATCTGCTTTCTTGATTCTTGTAGAATATATGCACTCTAATTTGGAATATAATTTTAAGGTGAAGAATTGAATCATTGATCATTCATAATTGAATAATGATGATTGAACATGTTCAAAGAAAAGAAAATAATGGACATACTGATCTGACAGCACCTGTTTGAGTTTTTTTTTTTTTTTTCCAACTATTCAATTATGTGTCGACACGTGTCCCTCTGATTTTTGAATCTATTTTGCCTATTTATAT